GAATAAATCTAGTTTTACGAGCAAGAAGTAAAGCCTTCCTGGCATCGTATATGGGGAGGCTGACATTATGCCATTCCTGGGATGGTCCTGAGAGGGTTTCCCATTCTTTTCCCATCGCATGTCCATCTACTGATATTTCTAAATGTCATGAACATTCTAGATGGAGTTGATTGCCCCAGTTCTTTAAACGTGTTCTCTTCCAGTCACTAATAACACCTCTTTTATTTTCTCCCTTGCTTCGCAAGTGCTTGAAACACATTTTTAAAGAACACATGGCAGAAAACATCTTGTCACCAACCAACAGACATCTTCTTTACGAAGGAAAATTAACCCTTGCAGGTAAACAACTGCTTTCTTTAAAAACCTGACATCTTTACTACCTTGTAACTTGTTCAATAAACAATAATGGAAGAGCAGGAGGAATATTGTTTGCCTATGTCCAGGGTGATGGAGAAGTGAATAGAGAGCATCCAGCCGAAACAAAGACTTGGCAATGTCACTCGCATTGTGCCCTCCGTTTTCTCTCTGTACCATGTATCTATCTCATAGGGTTGTTGTTAAAGCTAAGCAACGTACATGAAACACTTAGCTCAAGGTCTGGGATATAGTTGACACTCAGCCAATGTCAGCTGTTACCATCACCATCATCGTTTTANGGTCTGGGATATAGTTGACACTCAGCCAATGTCAGCTGTTACCATCACCATCATCGTTTTAGTCCTCCAATGAGCCAGCCAAACTATCAAGTGTTTATTGAGAACCGATCGTATAGTGCACACGTGCTAGGAAGGTGCAATTGGAGTACATAAAATAATTATTCTGAGTAATCTTTTCCCTCTAATTTGGAAGTTCTGTCATAATGACCAGACCTGCAGCATAAGTTCAGAAAAGAAGAGTCTTTGAGGCTGAGGTGCCCAGAAAAGGCTTCATGCAGTACACGGGCTTGGGCTTTGAGGGGTAGAAAGGATGGGGTGAGTGGAAGGGCAGGAGAGAGGACACCCGGATGCAGGGCACAGCAGGAGAAAAGGCGTGGAGGCAAAGCCGCCTGGAGAACAGGCTCCTGGCAGAGTGCTAGAAGGACAAGCCCCGGAGGCCGACTGGCTGGCCCTCTCTCTGCTCAGCCTTTTCTGCCTGTGTCACCTTGGGCCAGCTGCCCTGACCTCCCCTGCTTCGTTTTAGCCCTCTTGGTTGTGAGGAGTAAATGAGCCAATAGGTGTGCAAGCCCTTGAATGAATGAATGACACAAAGTACTCAACAGATATGATGAAGATCAGAAAGGGCTGCCTGGCTGAAATAAGATCTGCAGTCATTCATTTATTCATTTCTGCATGAAATCTTGCTTGGGCACCTGCTGTGTGGAAAGTCCTGTGGGATATGAAGTTGCCTATCTGTGGTAGTGTGAGATCTGCAGAGAAGGTGTTGGGGAATAATTCCTTACTCAGTACACATACTGAGAATCTGCTACGTTTCATACTGCTCTGGATGTCGGATTAGGACATAATCCCTGCCTAGCAGCTGTCAAATGCGGAAGAGAGACATGTCCAGTGTATAGTATCAAAGGGCTTTTTCATGCAGTGTCTCCTTCCAGTGAATTATACAGAGAAGTTACGTTTAATCCCTTGTTGTAAATGAGGGATCTGAGGCGGGGGAAGCTTCTGTATCAGGCACAATGTCACTTGGCAGGTAATCGGCAGAGTTCCAGCTCCAGCCAGGTTGCCTGGCAGGCTTCCAGAATCACAGCACCTGCCTCGGAAGCCCAAGAGAGGGACCCAGCCAGGAAACTGCAGGCAACAGGAAGTGATAGGGTTCTCAGACAGGGAAGTAATGGGTTTAAAAGAGAGTCGAAGAACCAGTTATGGGAAAGCAATGCAGAAAATGGGATAGAGGGGACCAAAGCAGAAAGACCAGGCTGGAAGCTCAGCGGTGAATCGGGTGGGGAGAGAAGACCCCGGGCCTGTGTCACTCAGCCATTAACCTATAGTCCACCCACTCCCCAGTTTCATTAGGGAAGATAACAACTTTAATGTTTCTGTAATGTTATTTATAATTTCAAAATAATTATATATTATGACTAGACCAAATCAAAGTAATAAAGCAAAACACAACTCTGTGTTCAAACATC